GTGCTTTGTTATTGACCTATGAAGGAAAAATATGTGAGCATCAGGCTTCATTTCTACTCTTACAGATGAGACAAAAAACTGGAAATTACCGATAGAATCTTGTTCAGAAGAAGGAACGTTGAAATGACACAGGACATTCTGGAGCACGTCGTTAACATCATTTGCTTGGTTAAAAACCACTTCTGTTTATTTGAAACTGACTGTATTTTTGTATTCCAACCGTATAAAAAAATCAAATCACTTTAACTTATTTAAACAGCCTATATTTTCTGATTTTCGCAGTACTGTATTATTTAGTTTAGCGCACTTATCACAGTAACAATCCCTGTGTAGTGTAATAGCCATATACTGTGTACTATACTCTGTTGGCTTTCATAAGTAAACATTTTGTCTTGAGACACATGATGTGCATTTACTGTGGCACCTTTTACCCAGAAGTGAAACATGACTGAATGCTACAGCACACCAATTTATATCATTGGAATGTCAGCTGACTCAATATCAAGGTGACATTTTCTCCATAGCCAACTAGTAAAAGCTATGCTTTCACAGATAAAAGTGCTGCTCCAGATATTTGCTAAATGAAAGAAACCAAACTTTCTGTGAATTGGAGAATATGTCATTCAGTAAGGGTTATAAATGGTTTAATGTGTTGAAAACCATGACTGTTTAGTACACAGATGAGGCTTCCTGGAAGCAAGCCCTGGGGAATAAGAGGGGAGTACACCAGTTTAGGATTGCTCCCTAAAATGTGGATTTAGATGTGAACAGTGACTGCTGAATGCACACCAAAGCTGTTGTTGGATTGCATTAACATGTGCCCAGGTTGTGTTCAATAGGTGGCATCATGAACAAACTGAACGCCTGGTGATGCTTGCCAGTGACATCTCACCATGCTAAAAAGGGTTATGGGAACCAACTAGGAAGGAGACTATGGTCCCAGGCTGTTGCTTCAAAAGCTCCATTGAGAGTTGAGTGGAAAGAGGGCTCCATCTTAAATTATTTTGGTCACTTCAAAGTTGCCACGACTGAATATTGTACCGTTTGTCATGCAGCCTGATCAAAAAGGGCAGAGTTTCACTAATCTGTGCTTAGTTCCTGTTTCAGTCCCGCCAGTCCCGCTGCTGCAGCTGGAGAAGTGCTGTACCCGGAACAACAGTGTGACATTGGCCTGGAGGATGCCCCCTTTTAGTCACAACCCAGTGGAGGGCTACATCTTGGAACTTGACGATGGAGACGGTGGCCAATTCCGAGTGAGACCAGTGTTTCTTGTTTGTTTGTTTGTTTTTGACTTTTGTGGACAAATGCCTGAGTAGCTGGGCCTGCTAAAAGTTATGTTCTATATTGAATGAAAAATAGATTGAACTCAGTCTTAAGCCAGCCCTGCGAAAGATTGCCTCATTATAGGAGAATCCCTAGAAGGAGGGTAGAAAGGCCACTTAGTGGAAATGGGTGCAGAAGGATAAAGAAGGGCTAGCAGAATTAAACACAGGATCCCTATTTCCTCTGAGAAGTCTCATAATGAGTATCATCAGGGAAGCCCAAACAGTGTTCTGCTTGGGAGAGCATCTTGATACACACATGTGTGCTTTCAATAAAACATAGTAAAGAGACAAAAGAATAAATGAATACAGAAAAAAAATATCCAATTAGAATAAAGCACATTGAGGGTTGCACTTAGGGTTGCTAACTCCAGGTTGGAAATTCTTGGAGGTTTGGGAGTGGACCCCGGAGCACGCTTAGGGAGGAGAGGGACCTCAATAGGGTATAATGCCATGGAGTCCACCCTCTGAAGCAGCCATTTTCTCCAGAAAAACCGATCGCGTAATTCCGGGACATCTCCACTTGGAGGCTGGCAACCCTGGCTGCACTGGAAACAATATAGGCCTTCTGAGACGGTAAAAGCATGTAGATGGCACAGGAAGAGGGGGAAGAATGGGGTTGCAATCCCTGGGAGAATTGAGGAGTAAAGACTTCTTAGAGACACTTCCTGTCTCAGGAAGTAACATCATGATCTCTAGGAATTTCAAAAATCTCTGTGGATTTACCATAGGTATTTTGACATTTTTGACTGTCATGGTATCACTTCCTGTTTTAGAACAGGAAGTGGCTTCCACGTGCTTTTTTCCTCCCATTCCCTGCCCCGCTGCTCTACTGAGTGAGGGTGGGGGCTGGGGGAGCATTCCCAGAAGGTACCCTGCCATGACTGAGGAAGTGGCAACTTTGCTTCAGATAGATAACACAGAAATGGATTTTTGGGGGGAGGAAATGGAATTATGGTTTCTCTTCTAATCACATATGTAATCTTTCACTTAGCTTTGCTAAGAGTAAAAAGTAGCCTGTAGCAGGAAATCACTTGCAGTTCACACTTAAAGATCATAGATTAAAATGAATTCAGTGAATTCTGCTCTTGCCTTTTTGTTATTTAGGAAGTGTATGTTGGTAAGGAGACCCTATGCACTATTGATGGCCTTCATTTCAACAGTACCTACAATGCAAGAGTCAAAGCCTTTAATTCCTCAGGAGTGGGCCCTTACAGCAAGACTGTTGTTTTACAGACTTCTGATGGTGAGCAACTTTAAGAATATAAAAAGTTCCTTCTTGAGAGTTCACTAAGTCTTGTGCTTTCTAGACTTGTATCTAGCTCTTCTACTGCAGACCAACACCCTCTGGAACCACTTTAATCTTATCAGTTAATGTTTCCAGCTCATTTATCAACACTTTAAAGACAGCTGGAAAATCCCAGGTCCAAGATGATGGTGGTGCTGATAAAATGGTATAGCCTCCTTCAGGAATGGTTCCTACAAAACTAAGGCTTTATTAGCATCTGGGGAAAGACCAGACAGTGATGTGGTGGAAGAGTATGCAGAAGGTCCCAGGTTCAATCCATGGCCTCTGGATCAGGTAGAAAGTGATACGACAGACCTCCACCTGAAGCCTTGTAGAGCTGCTACCACACATAGTAAACAAGACTGATCTTGATAGACCAGTGGCCAGACCCAATATGCGCATATGTACATAAGAATATGAAATCTTTTTTTCCAGCTGTTACTGTGATTAATAAGCTTTTACACTGAGATTCTTATGCTTTCTGTAGCAGGGTTAAGGGCTGTATGAATGCCAAGGAACTTCTCCCTCAGACTAATTTTGTGTGTTTTTGGAGAATATTTGAAATCAATAATATGGAGTAGGCCCTGAGGGAGCTGGTCATTGCATTTGAGGTTGCCCATTCTATAATCAGTGATAAATTCCAGGACTTAATTACATTTTTTCCTCTGTGGAAATAATTTCCAAGAAATGTCTTATAAAATATGGATGGTAAATCCGTCCCTCACTTCCATGTAATTACACTTGATACCCATATGGGGCAACCTGAGAAATTAATCTTGATTAATGACACATTGCTGTCATGAATCATGAAGCAGATGTAGTAATCATATTCTCTCTTCAAATTAGTGTTGCCAAACTATATCAAGAAAAAAATCATTTGTTCCTAGGGATCCTTTCCTGAACAGCTGATGGGGAATAGTATTCAGTTGTAATAAATCTGGTCACTAGTGAAGTAAAATATCCAGTATGAATTAAAGAGAGGTTGGGCTTAGATTGCCTTTATGAGTGGCCTTTAACAAGCATCACCTTTGAACACAAATTGTTTTTTCATATTTATATAGCACAACCTGGATTTTGCATCAGAATCATACCACAGATCTAGTGGCTGCAACCAGAACTGGGAATCACAGCAGACTTGTGGCTCTGCTGAAAACAGCAGCACCACATCTCCTTGTTCCCGATAGTCTAATAATACAAAATGTATAAAAATATTATGCTATGAATTGCTTTGCTCCCACAAACAGCAGCCAATTAAGTGGCACAGGGGCAGCAGCATCTAAGGCATGTCTATTGTCAGAACAAGGCATTTCTATTGTTAGGGAAGAGTAGAGAAGTAGATGTAGAGCTCCAGTTTTCAGTGACAGCCATATGGAAGTATAAAATCTAGTCCCAGCCTGAGAGTAGCATTCATACTGCCTATCATATGGCTCAACTACTGAATCTATATAGAAAATAGTTTTACTATACACTGCACCACACACTTTACAATACATTGTGTTAGATCCAACAGTTCTTTTCAACTGAGTTAGATCCAGTGATGCCCTTATGCTATGTCTTCATCTGATGGAGAACATCTCCTGTGAGGGAAAAGACAACAGAAGGGAGTCACTCAATCCAAGAGCAGATGGGAGTTACTGGATCCAACCCAATGGGAACATTTATCGTAAAAAAATCTCCTTAACACCTGGGAGGGTGATCAGATGATCAAATTATGCAGCAATCAGAGAGCTTGCTCTGGAGTAATTTGACTGCCAGAATGGATTCCTAGATTCCTTAGAACATCAACTGCATATTGCAGCTGTTGAGATCAGTGGTGTTTAAATGTGCTTTCATTTGGTTGGATCATACTTCATGTTCTTCATCTGATAGTGCAATGCTACTTTAGAACAAATCGATCTCTGTTGCTGCATCCTTCTAACTTGTTAATTCTTTCCTTCTCTACAGTGGCCTGGTTTACATTTGACCCATCTTCAGCCCATAGAGACATAGTCCTGTCAAATGACAACCAGACTGCTACCTGCAGTAGCTATGATGACCGTGTTGTTCTGGGCACAGCAGCTTTCTCAAAGGGAGTCCACTACTGGGAACTGCATGTAGACCGTTATGATAACCATCCAGATCCAGCCTTTGGAATTGCTAGAATTAATGTTGTCAAGGACATGATGCTAGGAAAGGATGACAAGGCATGGGCTATGTATGTCGACAATAATCGCAGCTGGTTCATGCACTGCAATTCTCACACTAATAGGTAAGCCTATTAGCACTAATAGCACATCTGAGAAAGCCTCCATTCCCTTCCATCATGCATCATGTCTCCTCAGAAATTCTGTCAACTTCTACGATAAGCCAAAGGGTTTGTGCTATGTGGTTCTATTGAGATTTGTTGGCAAGATACCTTCATTTTGATGGTCTCTAAGGCCCAAAACACATGTTCGTAGGAGACCATTTTGGATAAATATCAGATTGCCCCAAACTCATATATAAAGTAGTAGATACAGGAAATTGCATATGAGTGTGGGTTGCTAAACTCTCACTGTTTATCTCTCTTCCAATGTCTCATTTCTCCTCAGTCATGTTCAAGATAGCTAAAGTGAATTAAAAGTATGTAGGGGAAGAAGCCACTTGAAGCAGGTGTGGCAAGGTACAGCTTCTCTCACCAGAATGCCTCATTTGGTCTAAACATTTTGGAGTCTCCCATATTTTGTACATAATTTAAATAATAATAATAATAATAATGAAGACAATATTGGATTTATACGTCACCATTCACTACCTGAAGGAGTCTCAGAGCGGCTTACAATCCCTTTCCCTTCCCCTCCTCATAACAGACACCCTGTGAGGTAGGTGGGGCTGAGAGAGCTCTTTCAAGGACTGCTCTTGAGAGAACAGCTGTGAGAGAACTGTGACTGACCCAAGGACATGCTAGCAGCTGTAGGAGTGGGGAATCAAACCCGATTCTCTCATAAGAACATAAGAGAAGCCAATGTTGGATCAGGCCAGTAGCCCATCCAGTCCAACACTGTCACTCAGAACAGAGTCCGTACTTTTAACTACTACATCAAACTGGCTCTGTCACCAGCACAGCTAATTCAGCCCCCTTAAGATGATGCTTCAGTGCAACAAATGTCAAAAGAACTACACAGATGTGGTGATGTGAACCTGATTCTCACTACATTCACCAAACTATTGCTGACCCTCTTTTGCATGTGTCACGTACTCTGTACCTATGTGGGGCAGACTAGCCACTATCTTGCCCTCCCTTTTTCTGTTGCCTCAGGTAAAATCCAGCCCCCTCCTCTCATGGGTCCCCCAAGGTTGACGCCACAGGGGTGTATCACTGTAGCATGCCAAGTAGCTGAGGCAGGTGGGTAAGGACATGTGCAGACTCTCTCTAATTAAGTACATTTATTTCTACAAGGTACAAACAAGAACAGATCTAAGCAAAATAAACAAAAGGAACATTACTGACTAGGTACTTACAATTCCTGGTATATCTGGTCTTTGTTAGTTGCATGATGCCCCCCACTCCAGTCATCTTTAGCATCATTCCCTCTGTCATCCTTTAGCATCATTCCCTCTGTCAACACACAGGAGAGACAGCTCCCCTAACAAACTCCCGGACGAAGGAACAGATCCCCTTTTCAGACCCCACCTCACGTGTGTTCCAGGGCCCTTAGCCAATCTGGGTAGCAGGTCTGGGGATCAAGCCCACCAGCAGGGACTGGGGGTAAGGAGCAAAAGGTATCCCATTGTTAGCCTGCCTAGTTTGGAGGAACTTCTGCACACGGGTCCTCGACATATACATTTTATACTCCTGAAAAATCCCTACCCCCTGAAATTATGGAGATTAATTGTATGTTTGGAACCTATGAACAATGGCATTTACTTATGAAGTTACTGTATGCAGATGGGACCTATGCAGATGGTATTAGATGTGGTGAGGTGGTAAGGCTGCTAAGCATAATATAAACCCCACCTCTTGCCTACAGCTGTATGTGGCATGACTGTTTGCACAGGACTCATACTTTTGATTGTGTGGCTTCAATTATAAATGAGGACACCAGGGCAGGGATTTCTTATAGTTGCCTACCTGTTGTAATGCTGGTCCCTCTTTTCTTTGGAAACTAATAGATTCAGAGTAAATATTTGCATTTGTCTATTCGTATATTAGCTAGAAAGGAATAAAAATATTAGATACACAGAACAAAAAAAATCCTATCAGTTTGCATTCTATTACAGGTAGGTTTGCCAACTCCTGGTTGGAAAACTCTTTCTGATTTAGGGGTGCAGCCTGGAGGTGGTGGGCATTTGGGGAGTGGAGGAACTTCAGTTGGGTGTAATGCCATAGAGTCCACCCTCCAAAGCAGCCACTTTCTCTAGAGGAACTGGTCTCTTTCATTTGGAGATCAGTTGTAATCCCAGGAGATGTCCAGGCCCCACCTGGAGGTTGGCAACCACAATTACAGGCTAGAAAACTTGCTTTAGGCCTACTTAAAGGGCTAAAAAGGAGCTGCGGTGGCTCAAGTGGTTAAGACGCTGAACTGCAGGCTGTGGAAGGTCGGTAGTTCAGCAGTTCGAGACCCGAGTGTGCCGCATGATGGAGTGAGCTCCCGTCTCTAGTTCCAGCTCCTGCTAACCTAGCAGTTCGAAAGCAAGAAATTGCAAGTAGATAAATAGGTACCTTCAGAGGACGGCGGAAGACAGGAGGGCCTGGTGTGATCTGGTCCATGGGGTTGCGAAGAGTCAGACTCGACTGTGCGACTGAACAACAACAAATAGGTACCACTTCAGTGGGAAGGTAAAAGCGTTCCGTGCGCCTTGGTGTTTAGTCATGCCGGTCACATGACCACAGAAATGTCTTCGGACGGCACTGGCTCTTCAGCTTTGAAACGGAGATGAGCACCGCAACCCTAGAGTCGGATTCGACTGGCTTTCGAGCAAGGGAACCTTTACCTTTTTTTAAAAAAGGGCTAAAGATCAATTAGCATATTTCCCCGTCCATCTGCCTGGATGCCATATTTTTTGAAACCACTGGAGAGTAATATTTTACTACAAAATGTTCAAAAATACTCTTCACTTTGAAAACCTGATTTGATTTAGAGCAGAAATAATGTTAAGCAGTAATCAATTTAGACCTCAGTGAAGTAATTGTACTTTCAAAAAACAACAACACCCTCTCTCTTTTTTTACAGAATACTATTCAGTGCCCTAGAAATCAACTTTTATTAATATGTTCTCACGCATGTCATTTGGTAGCCATGTCCTGTTTTATGAACTAGCACAAAACTTTAAGAGAAGACGCCCTGTGGAGATCATATCAGGAAATGCTCCTAGTTTTTTGATTATAACAAAAATCGAGGGTTTTTTTCATAAAAATATGATACTATAAAATATAGTAAATAAAAAGCTGGGAGTTCTTTCTGTAACCCCTCACAATTGTTTTTTTGGCTTTTATTTTGCTGTGTAGTCTAGTGCTCCAAGTTGCCAAAATAATTGTGACTCTTCATCCCAGTGAAACTATTTGTAATCCCTCCTGCCTTCTTATTCCACTGTGTAAGACAGGAATAAAAGATATTAAGCAATGTCAGACATAAGGTCTACCCTGCAGGATCTTGGTCCCAGATAACAATGGTTCACTGTAAATTGAGCTATGTGTATTTATTCCGGGGTTTTTTAACCCATTGTAAGCTAGCTGTAGAAAAATGTCATGCAGAATTCTGTCAACAGCCATAGCTAGGAAAGGAGGTGTTAATCTGATTCATTACCCTTAGTTAGGGTGGCCAATCTCTCCTGGCCATTGGCAGGGGATGGGGCAGGGTAGAGTTGCCAGTTCCAGGTTGGGGAACTCCTGGAGATTTGGGGGTGGAGCCTGGGGAGGACAGGAACCTCAGTGGGGTGCAATGCCATAGAGTCCATCATCCAAAGCAGCCATTTTCTCTAGGGACACTGATCTCTGTAGTCTGGAGATGAGCTGTAATTCCAGGAGGTCCCCAGGTCCCACCTGGAGGCTGGCATTCCTACCCTTAGTCACTAAATACGTTAGCTTGCGAATGGAAGTGGTTAATATCACTTCTGTTTCCTCATCTGTACTCCTTTGTCCTCCATGACTATAACCACCTTGTCAATTCTTCCTTTAGACAGTCCTATACATACAAATCTGCCATTTTGCGCAGCTGGGAGGAACAAATGTCCTGTTCCTTTAACAGAAGTTTGTATGGAAGTGGGCACCTGAAGCTTTTCATGTCATGTTGTTGTTCAGTCACACAGTCGAGTCCGACTCTTCGCGACCCCATGGACCAGATCACGCCAGGCCCTCCTGTCTTCTGCCGTCTTTCCCAGCATCAGGGTCTTCTCCAGTGAGTGCTCCCTTCTCATTTGGTGGCCAAAGTATTTTAGCTTCAGTTTCATTATCTGGCCTTCCAGGGAACAGTCAGGGTTGATTTCTTTGAGGATTGACTGATTTGTTCTTCTTGCAGTCCAAGGGACTCTCAAGAGTCTTCTCCAGCACCATAGTTCAAAAGAATCTATTCTTCGGTGCTCGGCCTTCCTTATAGTCCAACTCTCGCAGCCATACATGACTACTGGGAATACCATTGCTTTGACCATGCGGACTTTTGTTGGCAGGGTGATGTCTCTACTTTTTATCATGCTGTTTAGGTTCGCCATCGCTTTCCTCCCAAGGAGCAGGCGTCTTTTAATTTCATGGCTGCTGTCACAGTCTGCGGTGATCTGGGATCCCAGGAACGTGAAGTCTGTCACTACTTCCATGACTTCCCCTTCTATTTGCCAAGGAGTGATGGGGCCTGATGCCATGATCTTAGTTTTTTTGATGTTGAGCTTTAAGCCCACTTTTGCGCTCTCCTCTTTTACCCTGAACAAGAGGCTCTTTAGGTCCTCTTCACTTTCTGCCATTAGAGTGGTATCGTCTACATATCTGAGGTTGTTGATCTTTTCCCCAGCATGTCATGGAGGTAACTAATCTCACCTGGTTAAAAACATTCCATTAAGCCTTTGTTAAAGGAACAGGACACCTTTTCTCCAGTCTGTTGGCAATTCTATGTGTCTTCTTATTATGGTCTATCTAGATAGTGCTAGAGCACAAGTGGCATTTTCATCCCTTCACAGACAACACTGTTGCAAGACTAACATTTTGTCTTTATCATCTCATCCTGTAGCAATCTTTTAATTCTCCCACTGGGCCCCAAGAAACATCCAGTTACTGAACATGTTGCCTATCGCTAGGGTTGC